CGATCATCTTATTAGTTAGTCCTCTGCTAAGCTTCAGCAAAGTGGCTTCTATTCTTACTATCCTTAAAAATATGCCATGGCACACATACAAAATTAAAGTAATAAAAAGAAATACCATGGCTTTAAAGAATCCCAAGGAACTGGAAAAAGAATCCCTGATTCTGGCAGTCAGGTGTAGTAGAGCACACTTGGGAGGCAGAGGCAAGCAGATCTGTGTGTTCAAGGGCCAGCCTGGTCTACATAGTGAGTTAAAAAAAACTCTGATTCCGAAAAAAAATTTCCTAACTAACAATGGGAAGCAATGATGGGATTCTATTATATTTTTATTCCTTTATTTCGTGTGTGTGTGTGTGTGTGTGTGTGTGTGTATGCCATGGCAAACAAGTGGAGGTCAGAGTCGGTTCTCTCCTTCCACCATACGAGTCCCAAGAATTGGTAGCAGTGCCTTTACCTGCTGAGCCACCTCTCTAGTCCAAAGATGGGATTCTAAATGGTCACTTAATCTCTACTGAACAAGACTGCACTCAGTCCCTTTACAAATTCTCCATCCCATGTCTGAAGTTGTGCTAAGTTCCTTAACATCTACTCACTGGTCTCTACCAAACAAGGCTGTACTCAATTCCTTTACAAATTCTCCATCCCATATCTGAAGTTGTGTTAAGTTCCTTAACATCTACCCACTAGTTATTTCTAAATCTGTCTTCTCAAATTTAAAAGAGAGGTTGAATTCTTTCCATGACAGCCCTTTAATTATTTTAGAACAGAACAAAAGCAGAGAAAGTGCTTCAGAGAGAGGATTTTCTTGGGTTTCCCATCACCTCAATCTTTTACTCCTTTTGGACTATTAAATTTTTAATTCCTCAGTTAATTTATTCTTTGAGACTTTTTTTTTTTTTTTTTTTTTTTCTTCGGTCTTTTTGAAGCAGGCTCACCCTGTAGCCCCAGCTGTCCTGGAATTCACTATGTAGACCAGGCTGGCCTTGAACTCACAAGAGATCCGCCTGCCTCTGCCTCCCAAGTGCTGGGTTTAAAGGTGTGCGCCACCACACCTGGCCTTTATTACATTTATTTTATGTGTGGTGGTGTGGGGAGCACACATGTACCACCTGTGGAAGTCACAGGACAACTTGCAATCATTTCACTCTAAATAAGGTTATCTTGCTATTTTTGAAAAAAAGTATTAACCCCCGCCCCACCTCTCTTTTTGCCAGGATCTCCCTAGCCCCAGCCTGCCTGGAACTCACTACATAGACCAGGATGGCCTTGATCTAACAGAGATCCACCTATTTCTGCCTCTTGAGTGCCACAACACCCGGCATTAAACCCACCCTCTTAACTGCCACTGAGAACTTTTCCCTCATGGTCCCCAATGTCAATGTTCATTGTTAAGAATCATTAAAACCTCTTTCAGGCCGGGCATGGTGGGACATGCCTTTAATCGCAGCATGCGGGAGGCAGAGGCAGGTGGATCTCTATGAGTTCAAGGCTAGCCTGGTCTACACAGTGAGTTCCAAGCCAGCTGGGAGACCAGCTTTTTTTTCAAAAAAAAAAAAAAAAGATTCATTAAAACCTCTAACTTAAAAAAAAAAATAATCAAAACACAACACAGAAAAATTAATATAAACATATGGAATAATTATAAACAACTGTAGAACCACCAGCCAAGTTAAGAAACACTCCTTGGAACACAGAAGCCTTCCGCTCTCATGACCATTGCCGATCACACCATAACTGTTCAGCAGTGATCAGTATCAAGACTTTTATGGTGATTTCTAGTGGTGGCGCTTCAAGGGAGACTGGTGGCTAGCTGCCTGGTCAGGAGCAACGATAGGGGCCCTGCCAGAGACGCAGTGGCCTCTGGGACTGGTAGTGATGAAGTGATGACCATAGGCTGGAGGATGGGGTCTGGAGAGAAGGATGTTAGTAAGAGTTGGAAATACGGGAAGTAGAGCAGGAATACAGAAGCCCTTCTGGAAGCTGCAGCATCAACGCGTCTGTCCAAAGCAACTTGGACAGTAGATGATTTGCTGTGGTGTGGGATTTCCTGAGTATTTCAACATTGCAATGGTAATTCCTGGGTTCACATAGCTATTGTTCTCTCTGCATAATAAAATTTTTGTCCTATAAAACTCAATGTCCAACTTGTGTGGAAGTCACAGAGCCAAGACCTAAGAAATAATCGCCTATTAAATGAACTGGTAGTAAGTATGAGTTTTGCACAGACTCGTCTGTTGCAGTTTGCTTTAGAGCCACCACCCATATCTTCTATGTCTTCTACCTCAAAGAAAGTTGTCAAAGGACACAGTGCTGGAGCCATTGGCTATCCTGTCAAGCAGGGAGCAAGTTAGTGGACAAATTCTTGATCAGAGAAGCTGGTGATTGCACATTAGAGTTATTGAAAAAAGGAAATGACAGCAAATTTAGTCCTCAAAAAGAGATAAGCACATCTACTGAGACTGAAGAGTCAAGTCAGCACTCAATGCCAAACCCCAGCAGTTTCTGGTAGTTGTCGCCCAAGTTTAATGTATTTGTTGGTTAGCGCCACCCATGTTTTAGGTACTGAGCAAGTTTAGAATTTAAAGTCATAAGGTTAGTATTGTAATTTAAAGTAACAGTTGCAATAACTTTGAAACATTTGTATGTTTTTCTGGAATTATTTGTTAGTACTTTTCCACTGGGGCTAGTCAGATCTCTAACATTTTGAATCCCAACTGTTAAACAAAAAATATTAAATAAATGGATTTATCAATGAAAAAAAAAAAAAAAGACTACGGTAACTGCTTCCTTTCCTTTATAGTTTTACCACCTGGGAAATTCTTAAATACTGTATTTTAGTTGGTCTGTTTTTAAATTGTACTTCATGTGTTCTTTTACCAACACTGTAAGGCTAAAGCCAGGTTGCTGTATATAATTCTTGCTATTTTCACTACTCTAATTCAGGTTTCTTAACCTCAGTCAATCCTTTGTTTTGGTGGTTGTCTTGGGTATTGCAGCAGCAAAGCTGACCTCTACCCATTAGATGTCAGTTGTTTCTTCATTGTGACAAGCAAAAATGCCTGGGAGGCAAACTCACTCCAGGATAAGAACCACTGCTTTAATTAATTCACTTCCACCACTTGTTCTTTTATGATATTCCATTCTGTGATCCTGAGCTACTTTTCTAGTCAAGTACTAAAACTAATGCGCTAATGAACAAACATTCTACACAAACTTCCAGAAGTATACAAAGGTGCATTTTTCTAGAATAAGAACTTCCGTCATTTCAGTGTGTACCTTTCATTTCAATAATGAATGCTAAACTTTTTTTCCCCAAAGTGACTGTACCATATAAAAATTATGTTATATAACAATTTTAAAAGACTTTAAGTATCACTCAAAATATTAAGTGAAAAAGCTATAAAGATGTTTTATCTCCAACCCAAATCCCTCAACTTGTTATTTTGCCTTCAGTTTCCTTCTCTTTTACCTTAATCACAACCATCCTTCAAGTCCTAACTCAAGGATGAAGGGAGAACAGTGCTGTCCTGTTCACTATCAGTTTTTCCTTTCTCTATGCTTAAACAGCATTCACAGACTATCCATTCTGTCAGTCATACACTTTCCCAAACTGCAAGTTAAGCAGCCCAGAAGCTGCCTTGCCAGTTACTCCTTATGGCCTGGCAAAACAATCTAGCTATCCACATAAATATTCAGGGAATAGTCCCTGAATGAAAAAGTCAAGCCCTCAAACCTCCTAAGCCTGAGAGGAACAAGGGCTCGGAAGAAAAGAAGAGTTGGAGAAACAGTTCAGTTGGCAAAATGTCTGCCTGGCACATGCTAAGGCTCTGGGTTCAGTCCTCAGTACCACAGGAGTAAGGGAAGGAAAAAGGAAAGAGGGAAAGGGAAGGGAAGAAAGGAAAGGAGAGGAGGGGAGATAAAATATGAATTTAGTCTTGGCTCTCATACTTGGGTAAGTTATGTTTCCTCTCATTAGTTTCACTGTCTTCAAAAGCAGTTAGAACAAGAGGTTGTGTACTGACCAAAGTGACCCCATTTTGGATAAAGTGGCCATCTTAGAAGCTTAGCCATAGTGTATTTCTAGCTCAAGGATTGTTTTCAGAAACCCTGATTCCGTTCTCCCTTTTCCTCCAAGGAGAATGCTGCCACAGTCACTTGCTCTCTAGACATATAGAAAACAAAATTATTATGATATGATTAACTGCTGATTCTGGCTTCTGTAACATGCTTGTTTTGCTATTTTAGGGCACCTTGACGTGTAGACTGAGATCATCCCTGTTATTCCGGGACCACCTTGTCAATATTCCTTTTTGCGGTTTTTAGCTTTAAAAGGTCCCCTTTCCCTCTCCCTCCCCACTGCAGCACTCTAACCCGATACCGTGACTGCAGTCCAAGCTAGCTTGAATAAAATCTTTTTATCTCGATCTGAATTGAGTCTGGAGGCCTTTCCTCAGTAGTCCCGGGGCCCATAACAGTCCGGGATATAGCTCAATCGGTGGAGTGCTTGCCTAGCTAGCATGCGCCAGGTCCTGGGTTCGAGCCCTAGCACTGCATAAACCAGGCGTGGTGGAGCACTCCTGTAATCCCAACACTCCGGGTGAGGCGGGTGGATCAGGAGTTAAAGGCCATCCTCAGATACATAGTGAGTTAGAGGTCTGCCTGAGCTACATAAGGCCCTAACTCCAAACACTGAGTTAGAACAGGTGGCCTGAGAGTAACACCCAGCGCTACAATCAGCTAAGAAATGAACGTCAAAAAGAGCTGGCGGATGGGCCCGGCAGTGGGTGTGAGGGACCAAGGGGTGCTGTCAGCCTGGGTGAGGTAGGTAAAGGTTTCTCCTGTTGTCTACAGCAACGCACAGGAACAGGAAGGGGCTGATGTCAGTCCCGGGGCGGGGGCGGCCGCGCCCGTGACCCGCGTCCCTAGAGTGGACATGGCGGCGGTCGGCCCGCTGGACTGGCAAGGGAGGCCGGAGCCGGAGGCTCCCTGCGCCCAGTGCTCACCCGATTGGGATACTCCTTCTCCACACAGTCCCCGCACATCGCGACGCGGTAGGGAGCGTCCTCCAGCGCTTCCGGGAAGACGAACTCTCGCGAGAGTGGAGGCTTCGCTTGCCGCATGCGCCCCAAGTACTCGAAGCTGCACAGTCTTCGGGCATACGGCCCCGGAGCCTCCGCCTCCTAGCAACTGTTAGGCAGGGAATACCGCGGTTTCTCCTGCCCCGGCGGACGAAGGATTGGGCGCAAAAATTATTGAATATTGAAGAAGTCTGCGGTCTGGGAGCTGTGGCGGAAGGGGAAGCGGATCTAATGATGAACGTCTAATAGGCGTCTTCCTGAACTTTGAGCAAAAGGCAAATCACAGTACACAAGAAAGGGAATTGTTTCTCCTTCCCTTTTCCAGATTAAAAAACCTGAAATAATAGTTTAAATACCTTTTTGTGCTGTAATAAAGATCAGACCTAGGCGGGCAAGCAAACAGTGCTTGGGAAGAGGCACTTGGAGTGCTGAAGAGAATCTCCTAAAAAACATTTTCAATATTAAATGACTTCTATCATGTTTCAATCTCTCGTATCACAGAAGCACCTCAGAGGCTTGCAGGAACCATGTAAATAAGAGGCCAGCCCAGTTATTCTTGCATCCTTTCCCCATCCTTTTGATCTCAAAATGCTGTGATTGGCGCCCGTCCTCTTTTCTTTCTGTATTGGAAGCCTCTGATTATTTACAGTAGTATAATTAACCTGAATGCAAATCTTTAAAGTCTGTTTCTGATCTTCACCACACCCACATCCTCCTTGAATCCTGCTATACAGCTGTCTAATCAGTGGGGAAAGACTGAGGAGCATACGAGACTTTGGGATCCAGATCCTCTAAAAAAGCTATGAATAAGAATTTCAAAAGAAGCCAGTTTAATGGGGGGTGCCTGATATGGAAATTATGGCTACACTGGGGGCATTGACATGATTAATTTATAGTAGTTTAACCTCTGTTAAGGATCTTTGATAGCTGTTGAAAATCACAGGTGTATTGAGAAACACTGCCAACTACTGCCATTGGCATTTATTCTTGGAATAATTATAATTGCCCATATATGATATATATATACAATATATATATAAAATGAAGCGCGTATGACACTTCAAACCTTTCAGATGATCCCCATTTTAGTTTCTAATTTGATACAATTACGAAACCTATAAGATTGGAAAGAAAAATGTCTTTTCAGATGAAGAATGAAGGAAAGACATGGTTAAAAGTTTTGTCTGTGTTAACAGAGCCACTCAGTAGTTATGTAGAACAGGCACTCTGCCCCTATTCTCTGCTCAGCTCCTTCCTAGTACCCTAGACACTAGTCATAAGGCTTATAAGTACTTTATTTACTTAGAGACTACGTCTCACTGCATATCCCAGGCTGATCTGGAACTCACTCTATATTTCTTGCTGACCTCAGACTTCCCTTGATCTCCTGCCTTTGCCTTCTGAGTGCTGACATTACAGAGGTGCACCACCAAGCCAACTTATAAAGCACTTTCTGAGTGGCAAATTTGAGCTGTGATATATGTGTACTTGATATGCAAAAAGAATGTAAATACCTCAGTGATATTCACAAGATTATATATTGAAATATTTTTCATATATGGGTTAAATAAAGTTAATTTCACCTTTGAAGATGTGGCTACTAGAGACTTTAAATTATACATGTAGCTCATTCTATTCTATTGGACAAGGCTGGTCAATGCAATTCTCTCAATCCACCTTTAAAGTCTCTGTTTTAAAAGTCTAATAATGACTTTATTAACCATTATATCTACTTTACTCAAATCTATAGATATTTATTGAATGTGTTTGAAGTCATTTCCTGCTCTCCAACTCCTTACAAAACATCAGAGAGATAAAGTGATCACAGATATCTTTAATTATTTGCTGGCAGATGGTTGTGTGGGAGGACAATGGAGACACTATGCTTAGGTGAGGGATTAGGAAAGAAGAATTTGGACCTGGAAGAATGTATAGGCTTCTGTTCTAGTTTGTCTCTCCATTCCTGTGACAAAACGCTCTGACCAATACCACCTTGGGTAGGAAAGTGTTTATTTAGCTTACCTTTCCCAGGTCACAGTTCATCCAGGAGCTCAAGGTAGGAACTCAGGGCAGGAACCTGGAGGCAGAAGCTGGAGCACAGGCCATGGAGGAATGCTGCTTACTGGCTTGCTCCCCTGGCCCCTGCTCAGCCTGCTTTCTTATGCAACACAGGCCCACCCTCCCAGGGGTTGCACCACCCACAGTGGGCTGGGCCCTCCCACATCCCTCAACAATCAAGAAGGTGCCCCATGGACACGGCCACAGGCCAGTCCAATGAAGGCAATTCCCCAACTGAGGATCCCTCAACCCAGGTGTGTCAAGTTGACACTAAAGCTATCCAGCTCTGCTTTCAAGAAGCAGAGATTATAGAGATGTGGTTCAGTTGGTAGAGTGCTTGCCTAGCATGCAGAAAACCTCGGGTTCCATCCTCCACGCCACATAATTTGGGTGTGGTGTTTCACTCATGTAATCCCAGCACTCAAAGATGTGGAGACACGAGTATCAGAAGTTCAAGGTCACCCTCCCATATAAAGAGTTTGAGGCCAGCCTTGACTGAATGAAACCCTGTCTCAAAACAAAATAGTGATTATGTAGGTATTTAGGGTGGACTGCAATAGGGTGTTAGGATTTTATTTGGCAGGTGAGAGAGCCCTTGAATGTTTGAGCAGGGGAGCAGTGCCAGAGCTGTGGTTGAAGATTAATTCAGCAGCTTTTTACTGGTCCCAGAACTGGGAGAAATTGGAGATGCAAAAGATAGATACCAACAGGAACCACTAGAGGGAGGTGTATAGCTTTGTGTCTACACAAGACTCTCTCTCTCTCTCTCTCTCTCTCTCTCTCTCTCTCTCTCTCTCTCTCTCTCCCTTCCCAGGTCAAAGACCATCCTGTCTGGGAAAATAAGGTAGAAACTGATAGAGGAAAATACCTGATACCCACCACTGGCTTCCATAAGGTAGATGTACATGCACACACACCTGCATGCAACATACACACACACACACACACTTCTAAAAAAAAAAAAAAAAAAAAAAAAAAAGATAAATAAAAATTGCACTATAGTCAACTATCTCGAAAAACTATCTCAAAAAAAGCTCTTGTAGAGGATCCAGGTTTGGTTCCCAGCACCCACATGGCAGCTAACAACTGTCTGAAACTCCAGTTCCAGGGAACACCCTCTTCTGACCTCCAAAGGCACTGCACAACAGGGGTGCACTTAACACACACATGCAGGCAATACACTTGTATACATAAAAATAAATAAATAAATAAATAATAAAAAGATAAAGAGCTAAGGGCTATCCACCTAAATTTAAATTTAGCCACATTCAGGAAGAAAGGCAGCACGTTCTACTAAAGGAATGGGGAGGTGGATGGAATGATAAATTCAAGTGTGATTGCAGTAACAGGAATGTAAATGTACCTGAAAGTCACAGGTGGAAGAAAGGAAAATAGAGACTACCAAGCAGGGGATTAGTGCCTCAACTAATAAACAAGTAGTGTTTGTTCTAAATGGACAAATGACTAAAAAATTTTTCTTTCCTCTTGTACATGATTGTGTAATATAAATTTTGCAGAAACCATTGTTTCTAGCTATCGTATAATGGAAATTTCTCTGCGATACTACCCTATACATATTAATCTTTTTTAATGTCATGTCAATGTTGTATGTCAAATACATGCACAGGTTGCAGTTTTATGCATGAGATTGCCTTTTGATAAATGGAATCAATTTTAGAAAAATCTAAATGTTAAAATGGCCCAACTTTTCTGGCTCATTTGTTAACCCTGGGGCAAGATTAGAGTACTAAAGAGTGCAGTTTGAATCTCCTTTTACATTTTATTTTATTTTGTTTTGGTTCGTTGAGAAAGGGTCACATTCCGTAGCCCAGGCTGGCCTGGAAATCACTAACCTAGCTGATTTCAAAATCGTAATCTTCCTGTTGCAGCCTCTCAAGTACTGGGATTACAGGTGTGTACTACCACATCTGGCTTTGTTTTTTTAAATTTGTTTTTTTGTTGCTGGGTTTTTTGGTTTTGGTTTTTGGCTTTTTTTTTTTTTTTGAGACAGGGTCTTCCTGTTGCCCCAGTCTTGCCTTCAACCCACAAAGATCCAACAGCTTCTGCCTCCTGAGAACTGCATTGAGACAGGGTCTTCCTGTTGCCCCAGCTGGCCAGGAACCCGTTATATAGACCAGTCTTGCCTTGAACCCACAAAGATCCAACAGCTTCTGCCTCCTGAGAACTGCGATTAAAGGCGTGAGCCACTATGCCCAGCTTTATTTGTTGTTTTCTGTTTTTAAGGCAGGGTCTCCCTGTAACCCTGGCTCACCTGGAACTCTCTATCTAGATCAGGCTAGCCTGAATCTTAAAGATTCATTTCTTCTTCCTGAGTACTGAGATTAAAGGCATGCATCACCACACCTGGCTAAGATTTTCTTTTCTTTTCTTCTTTTTTTTTTTTTGGTTTTTTTTGGAAAGGGTTTCCCTTTAGCCCCCGCTTTCCTGTTTTTCGTAGTCTCTCCATGTCCGGGTGGCCCACGGGCTCGGGTTTCATATGCAGATGACTCCTTTCAGCAGAGTACCTGGCATCTTCCTAACTCTCCTTTGAAGTAGCCGCCATAGAAAACATGGCCTCTGGCTCTGGAAATACCATGCTTTCCTGTGTGATTTTTCAAGCAGTCTGACAGTCTGGCAGCCTGGCGGGAGCCCATTTCCACACACAAATGAGGCATCCCCAAAATACCTATCAGCTATAGCTTTTACCACTGCCCCTACGGTATAAAATATCCCAGTCTTCTCTCAATAATTTGGAGCTAGAAGCGGAGCTGGAGCTAGACCAGGAACTGGGTCACTGAGACTTGGAATAAAGAGCTGTAGCACTGAACCTGACTAGACTGAGTCTGTGTCTCCTGCCTGCAATCTAGTCTGGGCGGGGGGCATTCCTCCGACACCGACTCACGGATCCCAGCTTCAGCCGCCTCACACTATTCCTGCGTGTTCCAGCGGCCGGTGGAACTTGCATATTGAGGAAGGTGCACGGGTGAAATCAGGGTGGAGACACGGCTGGACAACGCTCCAGCAGCAGAGACCCACA